AAAAATGGATTTTAGGTATTTATTGAATTGTTCTATTTGAGTCATGAGACTGTGTCCAATTATCTGGCCCTTTCAAGGCCAGTCATTTTCTGATTGAATAATAAGGTAAAAAACCAAAATTCAAAATGACTGTCGTGCTAGTCTTGAACTTGGTCGTGCCTTTTGGGTTGGTCAGGCTCATGCGATTGCGCACATCAATGAGAAATTCTCTTGCATCTTTACCTTGTCAAAAATAAAATAAAGAAATAAATGATATCAGTTGAATGTGACTACTTGAGTTATTGTCACAGATTATTCGATTGCTAATGTAAGAGGGTGTGTCAAATTTGTTTCATGAGGGAACTCTTGATAGTCAGGAACATATTTATCTATGTCAAACTGAACGACATGTTGAGGTGCTATGTCCAACCCCTTAAAAATAAGCTAGATAGCTCATTCTGTTCTTTAGATAGTTACATGGTGACATAAAAAAGATGATTCATTTTGTTCAAGGCAACATAAAGCACTTTCTGTTGTAATCTATTACATTCCCGACTATCCCTCGACAAGATGAATGTCCAATGCTTGATATGCTTTTACCTCCCACAGATTAATAGGTGGTAAGCTATTATACTTGTGTTTATGTTCCTGTTGTATGAAATGTGCTACTTCAGAACCGTGTTATTACTTGCAGAATGCAAGAAGTCCAACATGAGCTCTTAGATTATTTACAATTTATATACATATTTCGTAAATATTAGATATCATCAATTCTTTTCTACTGTACGAAAAAAGATTCCTTTTCACCATTTGTCTTATGTTCTTTCTTTTCCTGCTTTATTAGGTCTTTCATTGAAGACTCAAGTGCTTACAGCTATATTTTTGGCCGTAAGATTATACTGTAGCTTTATCATGGAAGCGGATATCCACACAGTGCTAGATCTAATCACTCTTGTGGCAACATTGTGGGTTATATATATGATGAAGTTCAAGCTGAAGTCATCCTACATGGCAGATCTGGATAACATGCCCTTATATTATCCGGTAAATACAATTCCGCTCCACGACTCTTTGCTGTATGTTTTTTGTTGAATCAAACGCTGGTTTCTGCTAATTCCTTGAGTAGTTCCTAAGCTTATAGTAGTACATATACTTTATGTAAAGCTTTATTTCCATGTCCAAATGTATGATCCTATTTACTCTGTCAATTATAAAATGTTATTCTATTTTTATGGTTTTTCTCCCACACATGATCACTTGCCCCCATTTGCGATGATCCAGACTTATATAAGTTCTATTAGATGCATGTACATTGTTACCAAATGAAGCAAATATATTAGAAGGAAGAAGGTTAAATATTTGTTGTTCAAGTACTAAAAAAGAAAGATTACAAATATGCACTCAAATTCCTGGACAACCAACCAGGGATGCGATGAGATGGCGCTTTGTTAATGATTTATTTGCAAACGGAATTGTTTCATGATATTGCTTTTGAACTATGCCACTCCTTTGCACAGATAGTTCCTGCCGCTGTTATAGCCTTCTTTGTCCATCCTACTACAACTCATATTCTCATCAACCGGATGCTTTGGGCTTTTTGTGTGTACCTGGAATCTGTCTCGGTGCTTCCTCAGCTTCGCTTGATGCAGAATGTTCAGGTTCATATCTCTTCATTTCCAAAATATTGAGACAGAAAAAAAAAGCACGTCGTCTTCTTACACTTGTCTTTCCTGAATAAAAAGCCAATAATATGTTATGTTGTTGCATTTCAGATAATTGAACCATTTTCAGCCCATTATGTTTTCGCACTGGGTGTTGCAAGATTCTTGGGTTGTGCTCATTGGATTATTCAGGTTAGTTTTATAGTGTTATCTTCTGCTCTATATCTTCTTGAATTTATAATGCAACTGGTCCTACATTCCCTTCGCTGATTTTCCTCTTTGTTGGACTTTACGAACAATGAGAGGCAGATCAAGGGCGGATCTTATGGTTCAACACTTCAACTGAATCTTTGTCTCGGATTATGTATACCTGTGTGAAATTCTTTTAAGATTTATACATATAATATAATAAGATCACACTCATTTATAACCTACTAACTCTAAATTCTGAATTCGCCCCTGCATGTAATTAATATGGTCCAAATGGCAACATACACATTAGTCCATTGTCAACGCGAGTCTAAGCTCTAATCTCCAAACTTAAGAATTGCAACTATTCCTATACAGGTTTATGACACTGCTGGAGCATATATTTACTTGGCTGGACGCGGTTACTTCTGGATACCAATGGTCTTTTTGGCAGAAATTGTTCAAACGTTTATCTTGGCCGATTTCTGTTACTATTATGTAAAGAGGTGAGCCATGTAGTCCGAGTAATTCATCTACAATCGTAAATCCAATTTCATATACATTTTAACAAATCTATCGGAAACAACTTTTTTTTACCTCAAACAAGGCAGGGGTAAGATCTGCGTACACTTCACCCTCCCTAGACCCCACCAGTATGTTGTTGAGTTTTAACAAATCTAATATGTTTCTCTTTCTTGATTTCCAGTGTTATGAGCGGCCAATTGATCGTTCGCCTACCAACGCCGGTGTAAAATGCTAGTGGCTTTATCAACAGAGACTCTAGCATTTGTTAGTTCTCAAGTTATTATGTGAAATTAACTTGGAGTTTTTAGTCTATCCTATCTTCTTTTTTTTTTTTTTTGAGAAAGAAGCAAAAGTTTTTTGTTTTGGAGATTTACATTTTCTGAATTTGATATCTCAATCACATAAGTTTGGATTTAATCGTGTACTGCATTAGGATATCAGAACTTATATAGATCTTTGCCTTTCTTTTTCCCCCCCTTTTCGCTAGTACAGGAGATTGTTATATCATAAACGTAGTGGAAATTGAAGAAGAAATATTTCAGAACTTAGCTCTCTGATACTTGTTTTATGTAATGCACTTCTTTTATACAATCTAAAAGAAAAAATGTTTTTATCTTTTTCAAAACTAGTTAGGATTCACCTGAAACAAAGCTCTCGTTTGGCCATATATTTTGGCTTCATTTTTTTAAAAAAAAATTGAAAATACTGTTTGCTTATAAAATATGTTCATATTTTGGAAAATAAATAAATTTTAAGTTCCCAAAAATTGATTTAGGGTAAAACTTTCATTCACAAAACTTCAACTTTTCTTCATATAAAATGCATTTTAAAAAACACAAAATCAACTTTCAAATTTTTTTTCCACACAACTTCATAAACTCTTTTTTCAAATTTTAATCAAATTTATATTTAAACGCTAGCAAAGATCATTCTTTTATCCGAAGAGAAAAAGCGAAAAAATATGTGAAATTCTTACCGTAACTGATTGAAAAATCTATATGATTTACATAGTAAAAGTCTTTCTTTAATTATTCAAATACTTAATCAAACACCTTGATTTAGTATGTATTGATCTTTTTTAAAAAAAATTTAAACTGTGTATCTTGTCAAACAAAGGACCATGTGTTATTAATTTGATGTAGTAATCAAGTTTTGTGCTTTGAGATTAGTTGGTCATTCACGCCGTGTCGTCCAGAAATTCCTAAAGACCTAGTAACTAATAGCTGACATGTACTTTCGAACATGCCCCACCACGCGTCAAGTTCACCAGTCTTTTCCAAAAGGGCCCACCAGAACATAAACAACGTGTGTCCTTATTCGCCACGTGTAAAGTTTACCACACATTCCTAGGAGACACCAAAATCTTTTCACCCACTTGGTCGAACTATTCATTAATGGGAGTCCCTTCTGCTCAGTTCTGACACGTGTCGCGAAACTAGTACGTCAGTGCACGTGCCACAGCTCAAAACCACGTGGCAGGTAAAGAGCATGCAGGTCTTGGGGTGGTGGATTAACGCTTTTGCTTTATTAAACGTTTTGGACTAATTAATCTTACGTGTCATGAAACTCTCATTTCATCGTCTCTTTTCATGCCACGTGGCTTTCTCCCCGGCATTTTCTCTGTGACTACATTTGCTGCTTAAATAGTTCTGTTTTTCTATCCTCTTTAATATAAGTAACATCTTTGTTCCAAAAGATAAAAGCTTTTACAAGAAATCAATTAGCTGAGCGCTTTATGAAGTTTTAATTATATATGTCTACTGTGTTAATGGCGAAGGATTATAAAATGTTGGAGCTTTTGAAGGAAGATGATAATGGCATTGAACTGAGTTTAGGGTTATCCATTGGAGGAAGTTATAGCACAAAGAAATCAGATGATAAGATTTTAATAGAGTCCCAAAGGTCACAAAAGAGGGAAATACATAGAGAAATGATGGGAAATGACGAACAAATTTCAGCGCAAAAAGTTCGTAGAAAAGGAGAAATTTGTACTTCTAGCTATGGATGTGGTACATCTAAAGCTGCAAAAAGGTTGAATCTTGGTTTGAATCAAGATCCATATGTAAATAATCAGAATCCTGAGGTTCCATTTCGGGCTCAGAATAGGGGTTTTAGGCATTATAATGAGAATAGGGATGGGAATTTGAGTTATAAACAATGTAGAAGCAGTGATTCGGAGGAAGACTTTTCAGGCAAAAGTAGTCTTAAGAATTGCAAAGTTTTGTCCAATGGTTCACCGGAAAGATGTTCCTCAACAATTTCAGAATGCCAAAGTTCATCTCCTAAAGGTAATATACTTTTGTTCTTTTGTTTTGAAGTTATATATTTTTTTTGTTATTTTTTAATTTGAAGTTCCTAAAAGTACTTTTTGTAAGCTACCCTCTTCCTGTTCTGAAAATTATTATTCAATTGAATCTCCCTAAATCCTAATGTTGCGTTATGTTTTAATTTGCCTTTATTGGCCATATCGTGTGAGTTTCTTGCTGATTGAAACAATGTGAATAACAATAAATAAAAGGATGTAGTCGGATGAGTGAGATCCTTTTACTTTGCTTTTCACCCGAGTTCGTGAGATTGAGCGAGCTTGGAAACAACCTATGAGAAACAATATCTCCACCTTAAAAGTAGGGTTAAGGTCTGCGTTGCATAAGGTTTGAGTATACACTACTCTCTCCCGATCCCACCGAGTATGTTGTAGTTGAGCAAGTTTGGAGATAGATAGCTTCTCGATATGCGCATTTCATCCGGTCTTATAGTGTGTTTGCCAAGCGCAAATTTGAATTAGCCGGGCCATTAGTAGGCCCCAAATTTTGGATTTCTATGGTTAAGAAAGAAAAAAAAACAAAGTGTCTAGCAAAAAAGGGAAAAATTTGAAGAATGTAAATAAACGTTGACGCTAATCACCACCTCCTATAACAGATGAAGTTTAGATAACATTTAGAGGGTGTTTTGATTGGCTTATTTTAAGTGGTTATTGGTTTTAAGCACTTTTCTAGTTTTTGTGGTGTTTCGCAATGACAAAAGGTATTTTTAGGCATGAAAAATACAAAAATAAGTCAAAAGCTAAAAGTGGAGTCAATGAGATGGTCACTCAACTATCACAAATTTTTTTATAAAGTTATTTTTCTCTCGTTTGTAACAACAAAGTCACCGAACTATGTTTATTGCACTCAGAAGGTAACTCAACTAGATTTTCAAATTTTGGACGACCAAATACTTATTTTATCCTCTAAATTATAAACATTTATCTTTTTTTATTTTCTTTTAAACTTTTTAATATTATGATTTTTCTTTTTTAATTTATATTATGGACTTACCTATAGAATAAATAAATATTATTTATAAATTATAAAAATAAAAAGTATTTAAGAATATATAATGCTGGAATAATAAAATAATAAGCATAGTAAAAAAATTAAGTAGAATAATTTGTTCGTAATAATAATTTTAGTATTAACAAGAAAAACTCAAAAATTTATTTACACAATTCAAAATGAAAGAAAACAAAGGTTGTAAAATATATATTCCATACACGTAACATAAAATTAATTATTTAAATAAATGTATTTTTATAATATACATTATATAGTCTTGAAAATTATGCTCAATTATATTATGAGTTTGGCTTTTAGCTTATAAACTACTTTTTAAAAAGCCAATCCAAGCACCCTCTTAGCCATATTTACTGTTTCAACACTTTTATCTTTTTATTGACTACATCTGATCCTAAACAAGTTGGTGGCTTTGCAGGTCAAAGCAATAGTGATAATGCACAAGGAATACAGCTTAGTACTTCAGGGAGAAAGCATACAGAGTTTGAACAGCTTACAACTAATGTCATTCCTATCAAAGAGAAACAAGACCAAACTGTAGAGAGAAAAATGCAATTGGGTGCTAAAATGGGTTCATCTTCGCATAAGCAATCAAGCACTTATTCTGATTCAATCCATAATCCCAATCCCACAAACCAAGCAAATGCAGGTCAATTTTCTTCTCCTTTAAAGCAGATTCCAAATTCTGAAATCAAGAATTGTGGCATTTCATTGCTTTCTCGAATGCCGTGTGTGTCAACCACTGGTAATGGTCCAAATGGGAAGACTTTAAGGGGGTTGTTATCCAGGTATAATAATAGAATGGAGATTAGCATTATCTGTGTTTGCCATGGAAAATCATTTACTCCTGAATTTGTTGAGCATGCTGGTGGAGTTGATGTATCACATCCTTTGAGGCATATCACTGTAATTCCTCCTTGTTCTTGATAGAAGCTAAATTATCCTGAACCTCTGAGCCTTTCCTTTTCTTTTTGATTAAGTCTAGACGGATTTAAATGAAGCGACAGATTTAAATATCCATACTTGCTTGGCTTGAGCTGTAGTTATGTTTTTTGGCTCGCTTGAGTTGTGCGGAAAAAGCTTCTTTACCTTCACAAGGCAGAGATGAGGTCTGTATATACACTATTTTCCTCAGAGTCGATTTGTAGGATTATACTGGCTATGTTAATGTTGATGAATTGCGAGGAAGTCTCAACTAAATGGGGCTGTGGAAGTGTAAATTTTTTGCTTGGTCTGCGGAATGGAAACAATATTGTGACTTAGTGAAATTTCACAAGTAGAGTCGGGAAGGAGGGTAAGATGTATGCAGCAGCAAGATAGATGTTTTCATTGGTACCACTTGTTATATGGTGTAAATGTGTTCATCACGTGACTGACTTTGATACTATACGCACTCTTCTATACCTGCTGACCTCATGAAGGGATTATAATAAGAGTATAAATTATTACGGTACACAATTTCCCTAGAGTTTACGTGATATTTTCCGCACTTGAGTTTAACATCTAACGTAAATATGTGTAAAGGAGACATTGTTTTGTACTCAGTGGTTCGGTGTAAAATATTCTGCACGAGCAAGTTTTTACGAGTTACTATTTTGTTTAACGAGAAATGTAAAATAAAAGTATAAAACATGTAAGATAGTTTGTTATTGGCAAGTTGGAAGTGGGATTTTTCCCACATCGGAGGAAGAAAGAAGTTTCGTGTCTATTATGTGAAACACTTTCGAGACCGACCTTACTCGTACCGTGCATGTTAGCTTCGGAACTGATCATTATGAAATAGCACTCAACAGGCACGAGATTGACTCAACAGGCACGAAACCGACTCAACAGGCACGAGATCCTAAAGTTAATTATTTTTAACAGAAAAATCAAATTTATTTGAATTTTAAATTCAAAATTCGAATAAATAGTCGTGTCTGTTTGTGAAACAAGACATCTTTTCTGAAAGGGTCTGTTGGTTGCCTATAAATACACAAGAATTCCAACGAAATGAGATAGAAAATCACAAGTGTTATTGCAGGCTTTGTTGTATCCTGAAGAGAATCGTTTTGTATTTTCCCTAAATTAGTATACANGATCTTCCTCTTGGATCAAAACCTATAGGTTGTAAGTGGGTCTTTAGGAGAAAGTACAATACAGATGGTTCTGTCCAAACCTTCAAAGCAAGATTAGTTGCAAAAGGTTTCACTCAAAAGGAAGGCATAGACTATTTTGATACATATGCTCCTGTTGCAAAAATAACATCCATTAGAGTCCTTTTATCATTGGCCTCTATCTATGATCTTTACGTACATGGATGTTAAAACAGTCTTTTTAAATGGGAACCTTAGTGAAGAAATATATATGCAACAACCTGAAGGTTTTGTTCTTCCGAGAAATGAGAAGAAAGTTTGTAAATTGATAAAGTCTCTTTATGGCCTTAAACAAGCGCCTAAACAGTGGCATGAAAGATTTGATAGTGTAATACTATCAACCGGATTCGTACATAATAATGCAGACAAGTGCATTTACTCTAAATTTACAAAAGAATATAGAGTAATAATTTGTTTATATGTCGATGACATGCTGAGTTTTTGTACGAATCTACAAGGAATTACCGAGACCAAGAAGTATCTAACCCCAGCTTTTAAAACGAAGGATTTAAATTAAGTTGATACTATTTTGGGAATCAAGGTCAAAAGAGATAACAAGCAAGTGACTTTGTCACAAGCACATTATATAGATAAAATCCTTACTAAATTCAGTCATTTAGGAATAAAGGGGTATAATACTCCTTATGATTCTAGTGTTAAGCTAACTGCAAATACTGGAAGAGCAGTAGCACAGTTGGAGTATGCAAGTGCGATAGGTAGTATGATGTATGCAATGCATTGCACTAGACCCGACATTGCATTTGCTGTTTGTAAACTTTCAAGGTTTACCAGTAATCCAGGTAATGATCATTGGAAAGCAATAAGTAGAGTACTTGGATATTTAAAATATACAAAGCACTTAGGCATTTGCTATAATGGTTTTCCTAATGTATTAGAGGGATATTCTGATGCAAGTTGGATTACAAGTGTTTATGATAATAAAACCACATCATGATGGATATTTACTCTAGGCGGTGGAGCCATTTGTTGGGCATCCAAGAAACAAACATGTATTTCCCATTCTACTATGGAATCTGGATTTATTGCATTAGCAGCTGCTGGAAAAGGAGCAGAATGGCTGAGGAATATGTTACTTGATATAAAGTTGTGGCCACAACCTATGCCAGCCATTTCCATATTCTGTGATAGTGAGACTACAATGTGTGTTGCTCACAATAAAATATATAATGGGAAATCGAGACATATAAGCTTGAGACATGCTTATATAAGAGAATTAATTACAAATGGAGCTATAGCTATAATATATGTGAGATCAAATAAGAATTTGGCTGATCCACTTACGAAGCCATTAGGTAGAGATGTAGTACAACAAACTTGTGGAGGGATGGGGCTGAGACCCTTAAATTAAATACAAGGAATAGGAACCCCACTTTGAGTTAGTATACACTCTAACAATATAAGTTCAATGGGTAATAACAAGTTACTTGTATTGTTTAAGCACTGATCTCCTCTTTAGGAGCCCTAATTCTATTGTACTACTTACTGTTATATGAGGAGTTAAGGAGTTGTTAAATGCTTGTTATAACAGGGGCATAAAGACAAACTCCAAAGTGCATACTGTTACATGAAGAGGTTGATTAATCTTAATGGAATTATTAATGTCTGGAGTAACAGGGACATAATAACTAATTCCACCTATATGAATATTGAAGTGGTGCCGCTTCTAGCAAGATTTAAAGGGTTGATCTTGTAAATATTCATGAATTCAGGATGAGCACATGGCCGTAAACGTGCTAAAGCGAATACTGGATTTTCTAAGCTACTAGATAACACTGTGTGTGTGGTACTTTCGGTTTTGGCACAAGGAGTTGTGGTTCAAATCTTAAGATACCATTAACTTCGTCAAAACTTTAATATACTTACACTAAAGGAAAGTTCAAATCTGTAAAAGATACTTTCAATTATTCACAAGTGTTATGAAGCGAAATAACAAACTAGTGGGGGATTGTAAGATAGTTTGTTATTGGCAAGTTGGAAGTGGGATTCTTCCCACATCGGAAGAAAGAAGTTCTGTGTCTGTTATGTGAAACACCTTCGAGACCGACCTTACTCGTACCGTGCCTGTTAGCCTCGGAAATGATCATTATGAAATAGCACTCAACAGGCACGAGATTGACTCAACAGGCACGAGATTGACTCAACAGGCACGAGATCCTAAAGTTAATTATTTTTAACAGAAAAATCAAATTTATTTGAATTTTAAATTCAAAATTCGAATAAATAGTCGTGTCTGTTTGTGAAACAAGACATCTTTTCTGAAAGGGTCTGTTGGTTGCCTATAAATACACAAGAATTCCAACGAAATGAGATAGAAAATCACAAGTGTTATTGCAGGCTTTGTTGTATCCTGAAGAGAATCGTTTTGTATTTTCCCTAAATTAGTATACAGGCGATAACTCTTTAAGGACAGTCGATTTTCACGGCTCAAAGCCAATTTTGTTTATTATTTTCTAACAAAACAAAGGGAAAAGGGTCAAATATACTCCTCTATCTTTGGATATTGTTTATATTTAATTTTTTATTTATTTTTACTGTTATACTATTCGGTCAAATTTACCCTTATCATCGACAGACTTTAAAAATTATCTCTTGATCTGTTAAGTAATCTAAAATCTCTCAATTTTCTTTTATTTGAATCACTTATTATTGCTAAAGATACTAAAATATACAAATTATTCATGGATATTTTTAGTTATCAATGCACCAACTTCTCTTCTTCTAATAATGAGTTTGGAATTGATTTAAATTTTTATTTGTTTTCAATTATCCATATACCGCGGAATTCAATGAGTTTATTTATTATCAATTATATGCAGCTGACCATTATATATGTACATGTATATTCGAATATATTTATTATTTTTTGATTAGTATACAGTTCGATCGACTAACTTAAGAGTGCACAATGAGCTAGCATTTGCTTAAAGCAAAATTGAACTCGACAATATAAAGTCTCCAAGGAACTTCAACTCTTATTACTAAATACTTGCAAAATCCCAAATACTTTTGGTGCAACGAATTCATTAAAATTGAGGTGTTGTAAATACTTTTTTAAATTTAAACAAGCTACTTTATTTTGTTTACTAACTGTTGTATTATATTAATATTTCTTTCTATTTTTTTTTTCAATTAATAAAGTAGGCAAATGCCAATTATTTCAAAAATAGTGGATTAAGAAGAAGAATAATTAAAATGATTTGGAGATTTTGGGTCACCTGTCGGACTGCGAGGTAATTTTTAAAAGTTTGTTGATGGTAGGAATAAATTTGGTCGGATATATTACGATAAGGGTAAATTTAACCGGATAAATAACGGAGATTAAATGTAATCGAAAATAAATAGGTATATTTGACCATTTTCCCTAAAACAAATATGACTTGAGTTACTACCTAATCGTTGCAAGTGAAGGACAGATTAAAGTTTATTCATTTTCTATTTTTTCATTCTCAATCTTGGTAATGGCATGCTTTTTCCAACACTTGAATTTTTGAAATTGACCTGTGAACCAATTTGCTCACCATTAGGTAGGACTATTTCCAATAGGTATTACCATACAAGCAAGGGGAAAAAAAGGCAGAATAGCCTAACAGACACCTATTCTTATACGTGTTTGTTATCTCAATCCTTGTATTCAACAAAGTTTCATCCAGATAACTGAATTCAATCAAAATATGTATTTTAAACCCTTTCAGTATTACGTGTTGGTCACTCGCCTGACGTGGAGAAAATATCAAGTCCACATCAGATGAATTGATACCACATTTATTTATTTAAATATTAATTTTTAAAAATATTTTAAATTCATCTTTGTCCTCCTATGCTGTCGGCGATCCTTATCACCGGGAAACAACTGGAAAATCGGCCTCACCGTTTTGCTCTCTTTCCTCTTTTTTGAGCACGATCTTAAACCCCAATTCATATATATATAAAACTCTTCAATTTTGATAAAAAAATTGCTATCTTACTTCATCTCCTTACTCTCACTATTTTAGGTAAAATTCATATCACCATATTAATCTTAAAATTTAAAGAGACATAAAAAAAGGGCAACAACCAACAATTAGAAAATAAAGAACTACATCCCTAGAAGTATTTTAATGCCAACTACCACAAAGCAAAACCAGATCGCTGGAAAATAATCACAAGCGGACTCCACCACCTACTTATCCACTCACTAGACTCCTTTGGAAAACCCATGACCACCATGGACTGATGAACACGGTCGTAGAAAAAATCACTGGAAAATTACTTCGCATTTTCATAGCTTCAATATCTTTAAAAACTTTAACCCCATTAACAGATCTATTTATTCAATTTCCCTAAAAAAAATCTTCTCCTTTTTGTACTGTACTTTTAATTTAGTTGCTGACTATCCACAAAGGGCAGAGGAGTGGGGGGTTTCGGGGGAGGGGGGAGGTAGGGGTGCTTGGGTTGGGAACTAATTTT